GACCTTTATGTGAATAAGACTCTTCCAATAAAATTCCTTGACCCTTATCATTCAAACTGAATAAAATTTAAAATAAAAGCACGAAGGATGCCAGTCTCAGTCAAACTGTCTAAAGCATCCTATTAGATGCTGCTCCAGTATGCCTGTGCTGAATGTGACGGCTGCAGATAGAAAGATCTAGAGCTTTGAGATGTGTGAGAAACCCAAGTTACATTCAGTGTTTTTGACTGATGTTGTTTTGTTTTTCAAATTTTTATATCCAAAAACCTAGCTATAGCACATACGTAGTTTGAGCGCAAGTCATGACTGAAGAACGCTCTATAATGAGTAATTAAAATAAAATATTGTATGTATTATCTAGTCTTCTACTCATCCAAAGACAGTAATTCAAATCTTGTCATAGAAGTAAAACCATCCACAGCTGAAAGCTTGCAGTGCGTGTATAGCGACAAACAGTCTTATGTGTGGTTTATTCTCCATCTAGAGTCTTCCTGTAATAGGCTGCCGGTAGTTTTTACTTCTCTTTATATCTTTCAAGTCAAAAATTCACATGAACTCCTGCAATGACAAATAAGGCATTGCCGCTGGATGCTTTAAGACTGGCTCTCTTTTGTGTTGCAGTACGTATGGTTTGGGTCCTGCTTAAAGGCTAAAAACCTTCACATGAGAGCTGGTTTTCTGACTCTGGGTTACAGGATTTCTTCCAAATTGTCCTGTAATCATCTGGCTTCGCTATACCTTCGATTCATTGAATGAATCCAGTTCTAAAGATAACAAAGACTCCTACAGCATGAAAGTTGTTTCTGTTTTTGGGAGGTTGCCTAAACAAACTGCTGTACAACCTCCTCAGAAATATTATTGCGGAACAACTGACAAGGTTTTTAATTGTGCGACCATTGGTCTTTTTTGTTTGTTTGTTTTAATGGTGTCTTCTTTAGGTCTAAACGTATTTTGGGTTTGGTCAAATGTGCAGCGTGTGATATAAACTGAAATCACTATGGTAGACCGCTCCTGATGGGCCTGCACACAAACCTTCACATACTTATAAGAGTGTGTTAAACTTGTGGCTATTTGACAGTGGAACATCTTAACGTCACTTGTTAAAAGGTCAAAAAAAGGTCTTGGTAATTTTGGTTTTATAACAGCACTTCTGCTTGGCCATTCCTTTATGTTGGGGTTGATAACAGGAAGTCAGAAACACAACCAACCCCTTTTTCTGCAATAAACCATCATTACCAATTAAAATAAAGTTGCGTGACATCTGCAAATTAAACACAAGTGAAATTTATTTGGTTTTAAATTCTTTAAAGATTAAACGCAGATTCTCTAAAGGAGGGCTGATCATTTTCACTTCTGTTCCTAATGTCGTTTTAAATCCTGCACTAAAATCTCAGTATCGACAATCCCCTGAGGAACAGTATTGAAGACCAAGAGTAAATGTTTTTTTTAAATTACCTTTAATTGCAAACAGCACCTCAGCAGAAGGAGCTAAGCACACAGACAAGACTTTCTCTTTTTTCCCCAAAAGCTATAAAATGGTCTACAAAGGTAGTTTGATCAAGCTGTTGCCACTGTATCATAATAATGAGTGTTTCTGCAGGGAGAATGATAAAAAGAAGTCTTTTACTCCTTCGGATTGACAAGTAGTAAAACACGCATACACATTTTTCCTCAGAGCGCTGCTTATTCAAGTATCAGGGCAGACTGGCCTACTAATCGGACTGAATTTTCATTACAGAGTTGTTTCATTCAAGGGAACATTGTATTCATGGCCAAACTTCTGAGTGGGAGGACAAGTTTTATTTTCTTTTACTTGGCTCGTTCTGATTAAACTCAAAAGGTGGTCAGGCCTGTGCAGTGGCTGCCCCAAACTTATGGAACAGTTTAACTTTCAATATACATACAGCTCAGACTAAAAGCACTTAAATCTCCCATCTTTTTTACTTTGGCTTTTGACTTAAACAAAGCAGAAGAGATTTATCTGACCACACCCATTTTAAAATGTTTTATTATGTTCATATCTAAATAAATAGAATAATATATTTACAAATTCAACTAGAAGGTTCTGTTGATATATCCCTAAGCCAAATCAAATAAAGATTTTTTTCTTTTTCTTTTTATAATGTGATTAACACATCACTGGACTGAAAATGAAGCAGGACAGAAACACAAATCCAGAAGAGGGTTTAAAAAAAACGCATCACCTGACAACACTAAGGTTGTGACCCTGTTTCAAATTAAATACAATTCTGGACAGCATTTGAGAAGGGAGGTGATTTTTTAAAATTATATATATATATATATATATATATATATATATATATATATATATA